ACCCATTGCCAGTGGAATAACTCTGGAGCTGGGATCCTTCACAACATAAACTCCAATGTTGAGAATGGCTACAGAAGGGCACTGGAGTCTGTCCACACCTATCCACTTGCAAGATCCAGACAGAAGCAGCTCTTTTTCTGCACAACTGACTCAACAGACATCCTCCCTTACACACCCTGTGCTCCCAGCAGGCTTTCAGAGCATCTTCTTTAATGTTATTTAAAATCCGGAACTATGTCCTGAAATCTCTTCCTAGAGACTGATCCTCCTTACACAGGGCGAAGTGCCCAACTGTTGCATTTAAAAGAGGTACATTTAAAATATGCACACTATGAAACGAAGTTGAGAAAAACACAGGCAAAAAGACTCAACGTAATTGGATGAGGGAAATAAATTTGAACATCCTTTTCTCAAAAATACAGACTCCTAAAACCACTCCAAAGATCTGAAAATACATTGCCAGTGGAATAACTCTGGAGCTGGGAGAACACTAATGCTCGTGACATAAAAGACAGTATAAAACCAGCCCATGAAGTAGGGGAAAAGTCTGCCATGCCACAAGTGTTTGTGACAGAGCCCTAGTTAGACACAGACAAGCCCTGCCCCCAAGCTACAGCCTCTTGCCAGCACAGATTGCGGGGAACAGATACAGGAGAAGATGCCCAGAGTTAACAGGGAAGGAGAGGACTTGGGCCTGGAAGTGAGAATAGCTTGTATGCTGGATTGCAAGGACTCAGAAACTCAGAAGTAGCTTGACACTGGGCAAAATCAAAAGGAGACACCAGGCAGGGACATGGGTTTGGGATGGGGGGTTGTGGGCTGGTGGCGTGGGAGGATGGAGAAGCATCTTGTTTTACACTGGCATTTTGGAGCTTGGCTCCTGGAACTCTGCAGACTGGCCAGCAGGTAGGTAAGGCAGAGAGACAGAAGTTGAAGTCATCTGCCCAAGATGATAAAAATACCCCAGCAACAATAAGAAGGGAGCCCAGGTGTGCAGGGCCCCAGCACATATGTGTCATGTGTCCCATGGCAACACACAGGCTGCTAGACCACACAGCTTCCAGTTTCTTTTTCCATGTTCCAGACAGCTTTCTCTATCACTTTCACAGCCATTACACTTAAGAATGTGATCAGCCCCAAGAAAGGGGTTCAAGAGCTGATCTTGTAATATCTTTAAAGTCAAAGTTGCTAAACTAAACTGTTCCTTAATCCAAATGATATCCTTAACTGACAAATTAAAAGCAATGATCCCATCACCACAAACTCTAATGCAAAATAAACGAATAAAAATTTACTTCATACTCTGAGAGAATACAAAAATTAATACCCAGAAGTAATTGAAGTGTTATTCTGATAAATTTATCAATGTAGCTATTTACGAATTGTAAATGCCTCTTCAAAAATAAAATCAAAACAAAATGCTATTTTAAAGGGACTATTTATTTACAGAGTGCTGTACTTCGTAAGGCGATGAAGAAAGAAGAATTAGGCCCTCAGTGACTACCACTCTTAGAAACATACTAGAACCAGTTCAGTTCTCCAAAATTTTCTGAAAGACAGGAAGCTGCCTGAATCTCAGTGCAGGAAAGACAGCTCACGTTCATATGCTGTTATAATTGAAAAAGATCTATTTCTAGGATTTTCAATTTTGGAAGAATGAGGGGGCATGGGGCTCAATTCCAGGGCTCAATTCCAGCACCAAACTTCATGAGCTGTAGCTCTGCCAGATGAATAGGTTTATTTTTAAATATTATGTTTAAAACTGTTACTATCAAAGTAGCTTCTCCCATTATTCAGCAGCCCTCCAGAAACTAGATTTGATAAATTAATTGTCCGTCATTTTTCCAAGTGTAAATTTACTAAACAGAAAAATTTTAAGGAGTTTTGGAGATTTTTTTTCCAGGTATCCATTAATTAAACATTCAAAGGACAAATTCTGCAATTATTATTCATGTTAGTATTTGATCAGAAGGAACAACCTTATCAAAGCCAACCAAAGAGTTAGAAAACACACAGGAATGAGTTCTGACAAAGGAATTTCTCTGATCGTTCCTTACACTTCCCCACCACCAGAAAGCTGCTGAGCTCCCAGGCACTAACCCTCCAGGACATTCCTGACCGTGACAGAGCCAGGGCTGTGTAAACGTCTCAAAGTCCAGGGCCAGATTCCAGTTCCCCAGTTACAATCACTTTTGGGATCTCTGCTCAGTGGGAAAGGCAGCTCCAGAGCTTGATGGGATACAGAAGCCCCAGAAGAGAGATGTCCTGGGAAGAGAGATGTCCTGGGAAATGGTGAGTTTCCCATTGGCCCTCTCTGACCTTCTTTCCAGCTTTCCAGTGCCCATCAGTTTTCCTTACTGAGGGAAGAAGCCTCCACAGTAATGGTACCTTAAGGTTTCTCAAGAGCCAAGGCAGCACTAGGACTCCCACCTTTGATCCTGGCCACTTGCTCCCTTCCAGGCTGAGATCTGCCATCTCCTACTTGGCAACACCACCACCTGCTCTAATTACCACAGAAGCAGGGCTTATAGCGTAGTCAATAATTATTTTTTAAACACACCTCCATCTTTCATGGCGTTAGCATAGTGTCCAGGGACATCTCCATAAAGAGCAAGGTCTCAAACTAGGATTTATTTTCCTTCTAAGATATTAAGTATTTATCAAAAGGACTTCTAAAAACGGAACCAAACACTTTATTCCTTGAGCACTGATCTTTCACTGCTGCCACTCTGAATTATGGATATTCCAAGAATATAAACCAAGGCAAATAGTACAAGAGTACACTACAGTACATTTTAAGTGCTCAATTTTGTTCAAATTCAAGTCGCTGTCATTTTGCCTTCTGCTTCAGCTGGAAATAGACTAAACCCTGACAACCTTTGAGATTCAGCTGAAGAACCCTGCAAAATGCCCCCGACTCCTAAAGCTAATGGAAAATGACAGCAGGCAAAGACTTCCAGCATCATCTTAAAACAGCCATCTCCAAGAACAAACCCCCGATCCTTTTATATACGGAATTATATAGAGATCCATGTACAGACAGACATCTTTCTTAAATCAGTGCTCCAGAGCTCACTAGATCAAGACCATAAAAGGTACACCAGTTATCTGCTAGGCAGCTCTGTCTCAAAATATTTGTAGAAGTGCTTTAAAAAATAAAAAAAAGGACAAAAAAAATCACATTTTGTTCAGGGAGAAGGTTCCAAAAACCACTCAATTGCATTTCATTTAAGGGAAGGTTTTAAAACCTGTATTTAGCACATCCATAGAAGGTCAGAAATAACAGCTATTGTTTTAATTATAGAACTATGAATTAGACTTAAAGGCACAGATTGGGGGAGAGGGTAAAATATTTGTAGGTCTCAAGAAATACCATATTTGCAGACATTTCCCTCTTTTCTAGCCTCTGAAAAACTAAAGCCTATGGAAAAGCAACTCAGTACCAGAATGAGCCAAAATGGACAATAACCTACAGAAATGCACATTTCCACATTACTACTCCAGAGCTTGATCCTTGTAAAGTTAACCTTCAAACCAACATCGGCTGTGAGCAAAAGAAAGTGTCAGGCTTCTGAACGGATTACTTCATCTGCACCAGCAACAAATCACTTCTGAGGTAAAGCTACCAACCAGCTTGCATCAAATAATTATTTTAAGAACAAGAAATACGACGTAATTAAAACTTGGCACTTTGTTTGCTTTCTTAAAACAGAAACACTCCCTGAATGGGATCTCTGTCTGCGAACAGCTAAAAATCAGAACTGTAAATGGACATAGAGGGACCTCTTCTTACAAATAAGACATAAATTATTGCCACGGCCAAGATGTCTCTTTGGCAAATAGGGATCAGTTGTATAAACTAAAGCAATGACATTAACTCACTGAAAGATGGGGGGGAAAAAAATAAAATTAAGGACAGCTAGGCAATACAAAAGGCCTGGTGTCAATGTGTAACTTTGACAAAATCGAAGCAAACCTGTTTAACAAGAATTTAAGTGATAGGTTTTCAACAAAACCATCTTAATAGGCAGCTGTAAATATAACAACCGAAAGCTGAAAGTATTTACATGATTGGTTTTCTTTTCTGTTTTGTTTGTTTCCATTGTGTCTCAGAAAAAGATTGACAGCTTTACTGGATTTGGGAAACGAGTCTTAAAAACAAAATGAAGACAAAGCAAAACATAATCAATTCATGAATACCATATGGGAAAGCAACTATGGATGTAGAGCACTTTTTCAATCTGCCTTGCAGGTAATCAATTACTGAGCTCTTCTTTTTTTTCCTCGTTTGAGCTGAGGAGCTGTGGACAAGCGGAGGGGCTCTGCCAGATGCCAGCAGCACAACAGCTGGGAGAAGTGCTCCCGCAGCTCCCGTTTCTAAAAACGCTCAATTTGGTTCACGACTTCCCAGGGCAGCGATATAACGAAAGCGAATCCCTCTTTAAGCCGAGCAAATTCGGCCGGGCGAAAAGCACTGAAGAATTCAGAACCAACTCGTCAAGCCAGCAGAAAAACGGTTATTTCTAAAGCAGGTTTTCCTTGGCAAGTCAGCGCGGGCTTTCGCTGGGAAATGCCGTTTTCCGTGCTTTACGGAAATCTACGCGGGAAGCACGAGGGAGTGAGTGAAGAAGCGGGATATACTGAGAAAAATTTCCCTGAAATTAAAGTGAAGTGATGAGAGGGGAGCCAGAGGCGCCTGTCTCCAACCTAAGGCGGGAGCAGCCCCGCGGAGGAGCAGGGCGAGCCCCGCACGGCGCGGACGAGCCTCCTTCGCGTCCCCCCACCGCGGGGCTGGGGGACCAGGGAACCAAATCCTTAGAAACCAAGGGGGAAAAAGGGAGAAGAGAAGCCGCGAAGCGCCCCCGGCAGCCCCACGGGCCCGGCTCCCTGCCCCGCTCCACTTTCACCACCGCCGGCCGCGGAAGACCCCCCTACTCCTCCCCTCCGCGGAAGCGCGGAGGAAGGAAGGGGAAGGGGAAGGAGAAGGGGGGTGAGCGTACCTGCGTTTTGGAGGATCTCGATGTTGTGGGGCCGGGCGGCGAACTCGGCCACCGCCTGCACGAACTGGGTCCGGGCGCGCTGGTACTGCTCGAACACTGCGGGCGGCAGCGCCGGGGCACCGGGTTAGCGACCGGGGGGGAGAGAAAGCCTCCCCCCGCCAGCCCCGACCCCGACCCCAAACCCGGCCCCGGTCCCAGCCGCCGCCGCCACCCCCGGCCTACCTTGCAGAACCTGCCTGTGGCTCATGGCGGCGGGCTGCGCGCCCGCGCAGGGCCGCACTGTGTACCCGTCGCCCTGGCAACCGGGCGGAAGCTGCTCCGCGGGGAGGAGGGGGGGGGGAGTGGGAGAGAGGAGGAGAGGGGCGGGGCCGCGCCAACGCCACCCGTGACGTCAGCGCGCCCGCCCGC